GTACAAGCTCTCGTTCAAAGAAGTTCTCACCATCTTGCATTTTGTTGCATGTTTTAAACTTGTGGGCCTTATTCAACTAAATCCAAAGCATTTCACATTTTTGAAAAAAAAAAGAAAAAAGAAAAATAAATAATGGTTTTTTAAAGATAAGTTCCGGAAAAATCCATCTTTTAGACATTAAAATAATTTGAGCACATGATTTTGGAGCATCACATCATCATTTTCTACAAGCATCACATCATTCACTTTTTCTTCAAGCTTCATGGCATTTGCTTTCTTTTCAAATGATATTTCCATGAATGCCAATTTAGTGTTTGCAACAATGACTCACTAGCTTCTCCTTTGAAATTTGCTTGGCATACTTAATGAAGAAAATTCATGTCTTAGGATACAATTTCACACACCTTACCACTTGTCAGCATATTTATATTCTTGCATCCTTTATCACTCATTTCCCATCCATGTTTATTTCTTTTCTTGCATTCCCAAAAATGCATGCTTTACGATACAACTCCACACACATTATCACTTTAGAGCATATTCATGTTCATGCATCCATGTTTATTTCTTTTCTTGCACTCCCATAATCTTGTTTGATTCTTTGCCTTCAACAATTGAAATATGGATTCATACATGGTCAAGTGCGATTCTTTGTCAGTCGAGACACCTTTTGAAATATTCATCCATGGAGAAAGTTTTGACCAATAGAGGATTGAAGAGATCTCCAATTACAAGCATTTCTTTCCCATCATTCACAATTGCCAAGTCCAAGGGGGCAAACTTTAGAAGGACAAGAACCAAGAGCAGCCTTGAGGATTAGAAGCTCAAGCACATCACCCTTCATGTTGCTCCAACAATCAAGGAAAAGAATGGAACTTCTCATTAGACAATTGTACTCTGAAAGATTTAGGAGTCAGATTTTACTAGGGACTTGAATGCTACCATGTTGATGTACTTAGTGTGATGTATTAGGCTTTTACTTTGTAATGAATGACCACCTTTGTAATGCATGTTGAACTGCTTGTAAGTGTCTTTTCTATAGCTTTTTGAGTCTGATGGAAATCTCAATGCATTCAAAGATATGTTGCTTCATCTGAGGCTCCCTGAGGATTGGAAATCGATAATGTGTGAATCCATATAGCAATTGTTGAAGTACTAAATCATGCAAAATTATGGGATGATTCCTAACACTATTCTGACTTTGTTTAATTTTCTTTTATTTTTTGTTTGTAGGTAGACTACTTCAAGAAGAAAAAAAAAATCAGGCATGACAGTCTCCCTATGTTTTCTCTCCCTTTGGAGCAATACATCATCCATCTAGAAGGCGGCCTCAACATGCTTTTATAAACTCACCAAGATATGATGTTGAAGTGGACTTACACATGAGACAAGTGGATCTAGATTCAATAAATGAGGGGGCAAATCTAGGTCATGGGGAAATTTGAGTATTATTGCTCTTAAGGATGAACCCCTATTTGACATGACCATTACTTCTGCCTTGGGGGCCACTTTGGCCAATTGGACAGTCAAGCTTTTCTTTGCTTCATTCATCCATGAGTAAAATAAGTCAGCTTTCTAGTAGCTCAGCTTGTGGCTACATGAAAGGAGGGAATAACAAACTCTTTTATATTCTCTGAAATATTTGCTATCATGCTAATTAGTTTTCCAGTCTTTACAATTCAGTCTCACATGTTGCCATATCACCATCCATCAAACTTGATGCAACTCTTCTTGTTAATCATTGTCCAAACCATCATTCACCATTGAGACATCATTTGATGCCATTAAAAAAAAAAAAAAAAAAAAAAACAAAACAAAAAAACAAAACAAAAAAACAAAACAAAAACACAAACAAAAAAAACTTGCATATATATGCTATTGCTTATCCATGTTTCTTTTTGCTTTCAGGCTTTGCTAATGATGAATTTGAATACAATGATGCCATTTCAGGATTGGTATATGGTTCAAATGATCCAAATCCATGTCAAGGAAGATGATGATGATCTTGATTCTTCCCATGAACTAATTGATATGTTGCAAAATAGAGGCCAAAGTTGTAGTCAAATGTGATAGACTCATACAAGAAGAAAATGGTGAGCAAAGATCTAAAAGAAAAAAGAGAGAGAATAAGGAAATCTTGCTAACTTAAGTAGAAGGATTGTCATCATTTTGAGGTCTAAAGTAAAAAGCTCAAGGATCAAAGCCATCTTTCATGAGCCTAATTGCCAAACACTTTACCCAAAAGAGCCATCCTTTCGTCAACCAAGTTAAGCCTAAAAAGAAAAAGTGAGCCTTTTCTTTCATACTTATCCTAAAAACCGGAGAATATAGTTATGTGTCTAACCGGGGGCAAGATCATATTGCTAAAAGCCATGAAGGGAAATCTCAAAAGAGTAGCAAAGTTCAAAGAGAGCAAAAGCTCAAC